GAGGTGATCCTGCCCCTCTACTCAGCGATGGTGACGCCACATCTGGGGTATTGTGTCCAGTTCTGGGCGCCACAGTACAAGAGGGATGTGGAGCTGCTGGAGAGAGTCCAGCGCAGGGCTACAAGGATGATCAGGGGCCTGGAACATCTGCCCTACAAGGAGAGGCTGAGGGAGCTGGACCTGTTCAGCCTGGAGAAGAGAAGGCTGAGAGGGGACCTGAGCAGTGTCTATAAGTACTTCAAGGGATGGAGTGAGGAGGATGGGTCCAGCCTCTTTTCAACGGTGGCCAGTTATAGGACAAGAGGTAATGGCCACAAACTGAAGCACCAGAAGTTCCACAGGAACTTAAGGAAACATTTCTTGACAGTGAGGGTGACAGAGCACTGGAACAGGCTGCCCAGAGAGGTTGTGGAGTCTCCTCCTCTGGAGATCTTCAAAACCTGCTTGGACGCAGTCCTGTGCCACGTGCTCTAGGTGACCCTGCATGTTTAGGGGTGTTGGATGAAATAATCTCTAGAGCTCCCTTGCAACCTTAACAATTCTATGATTCTATATATATATAGATAGATCTATCTATCTAAATGTCGTTTTATTTAATTAGGTATGTCTTCTGATTAACCTTTTCCTTTAGTGTTCCTGTCTCTAATTTTCTAATGCAGATGATATTTGCTCTGTAACACCAAGCCAATTGCCTTGGCTAAGTCGATTGCAAGGTTTATCTTATATAAGCATTTTGGATCCAAGCTTTCACTTTCATAGCAATATCAACTTTAATCTCTAGAAATAATGTATAGAGACATGAACCAACACATACAATTTCCACAGCTCTTTAGCACTCAATCAGTCATGTTTGTATCCAGAGAGCAAAACTACGACTGGCTGCATAGGTTAAGACCCAAATGCCCCATCTTTGTCAGTCAGTGTCTATTAAGAGTCACAAAATAGTGCAGAAGGCAACGGAAGGCAAACGGAGCCTTGTTTTCAGGTGCTACCTCTTAAGTTCACATTCCTGGTGACTCCCTGCATTTCTGAAAAGAAGGCTGTGATTTTGTACTCAAGCATTGATGCAGTTTCCTTTCAATTTTTATAATCAAACAAAAGAAGACCCTTCAAGCATGTGGTGCTTGCTACCTTCCCTTCCTGGCCCAATGGCTGTCCTGAGCGATAGTTGTGCCCCCTTAGCAGGTGGATAATTTAAAGCTGGGAACGTTCTGCTGTGACCGGCGCAGCCTGCCCTGGCACCCCCACAGGCGGCGCGGCCATTGCGGAGGGGGAGTGTG